TTTGAAAGTATATTCTTTTCTCTAAGAATGTGGTTAGTCTAATGTTTAGAATGCTTGTAAATAATTTGCCAAGGCAACTAGAAATGGCAATGCCTCTATAGTTAGATGGGTTGGATTTGGAGCCGGATTTGTGGATTGGTATCAAAAAACTGAGGTTCCAAGAATCTGGAAAGTGGTTTGAATTAAAAATTATATTAAAAAGCTTATGTATGGCTTTCAGTAAGTTGGCTTGGGCTGTGTTTTAGCATTTCATTGCAAATTTTATCTTGACTTGAAGCTTTATTATTTTTCAATAGGTTAATCCCTTTTAAAATTTCATCTTTTAGAATTGGACCGTTGAAGTCAGAATTAAGAGCCATGTGTTCTTCTTTTTTCTTTAATTCAGTAGTTAAATCATCACTGTGGAATGTGGAGTTTGCATTAAATAATTTTTTAAAATATGAAAGCCATTCAACTGGTTTTATATTGTTACACTCGTTGTGCGATTCTTCATTATTCATTTCACGCAATGTTTTTCAGAATTCAGAAGGGTTTTCTTTTGAGGTTTCAAGTTGGTTTAGTAGTAGAGCTTTTTCTTGTTTTTTCTTCTCTTTGATGGTTTTTTTGAACAGTTTTCTTGTTTGGAAGAAACGACCACGTATATTTGGGTTTTGGGGAAATTTTTCCAGCAAATTTGAAAGGCTTCTCAGCTCTTTTCTGATGGATTTTTTTAGACTTGGAGGTGATTAAATTTTCAAAGTCAATAATTGCCTTGTCTGTATCATTGTCACTATAGGATCTGTTAAGATAATATTCAATATCACTGTTATGTAATAGCTGTGATGTTTCAAAATGATGGTTTGCCTGGTTATCCCATATATATTTGCCTGGTTATCCCATAATAGCAGGACTGTTTTTCTGGCAAAGTGTGACACTGTGCGATCGCAAGTTTCTCATTAAAGTCAGGACACAAAAGGATAAATCAAAGTTCATAATAAATACCATAAGCACAGTTTCTTACCTTTGAGATAGAATTTAATCTATGTAAGCCTTGTGCAAAGAAAGATACAGTCCCGGAATACAATATCCTCTGACGAAATAGACGGCGATTTCCTTAGCGGTTAGACTGGCGCATGCGCAATACGGTATGCCAGTTCTCTTGCGAGATGTCGTTAAAACTCGGATTTTTCCGGCAAATTTCGACACTTGTACTAGTAAAATGTTGAAAATCACAGAAAAACACAATGAAACTTTGGCGAATAAAAAAAATACTTGGCGTGCATATGTATGGCATTGAGAATTACATTTGCACCAACTTTGAAAAAAATTGGACAGAGCATATCAAAGTTATAAGAGGTAAAAGACAGACGAACAGACGGACGGACAGAACCCAATCTATAAGCCTTCGGCAGACTTCGTCTGCGAAGGCTAAAAAATCCAGCGAATATACCTTTTTTTCTATATTTTACATTCAACTTCTAAAAAATCAGGAAAAATAAATTCCATACAAAACACCTAAGATGTTTTTTTTCAGCGAAAATTAATTCCAGCTTCAATAAAGTATTTTACAGTAAACAATTTGAGGGAACTTAGTACCAAGGAAAATGTCCTAGATACCAAGGAATATAGGGCTGACCCCGAGACACACCTATCTCATTTACATATAAATATGGTTTATGTACTTTGCTACCTCTCCAAATGTCTCCTGTCAAAATAAGTCATATTTAAATGCTCTATTAACATACAATAAATCATAGTCCCTCTATCACTGTCAATAAATGTATTTTTAGGTTTATGCGCACTAAGTTCTAATTAGAGGTGCGTGATTGTTGTCACCATATTAATAATTTGTTATGATGGAGGTAAACAGATACTTTAAATCTATGTTGCAATTTACCTGCAGTATAATCTGATGAGTTTACTGCAATGTGTAATTTCTTCACAAGGTGCGACCCTTTGCCAAGAGGGCTGTTTTGTAAGACCACTGCCCCCCGTCTGGAAAATAACCTCGAACGCCGGGGTTTCTTGATTTTTCCACTATAATCTTCGGTAGTGGTCGAAAATTCATACCCTGCGCCAAAATAGTCAATTGGCACAAGACTTAGGTAGCTTAACCCCGCTTGTGGCTCAGATGCACATTCCCAGCCGCTAAAATCTACTCGAAAATCAGGTATTTCAGAATATTGAGGTTGTGTTGTGGTGGCGCTAACAGGACGACTGTCATCCAGACCGGCATCAGATCGATTTGATTTCCCACATTCCATGGCGATATTTTGACCATCCATTCCGATCGATGAATTGACCAATCATTCGATTCCAATTTCACGAACTGATAGGACATTAAATCAAGGTAGAAATGTCAAAACAGTTCAAGAGTGACACGACGTCACCTTCGTAAACTTGAACGTTCACGTCGAACCGCCATATTGTGTTGCGTAACAGCCCCCCCCCCCCCCCCCCAACGTTTATGTCCTTGGTTCATAAATATTTACGAAGATGTTAGCATTATTAATTTCACTTAAATAAAAAAATAAAATTATATATGTCAGTATCATTACTTGTTTTACTACAAGAAATTTTGCAGTAATTCTACCTGGAACCACGATCGAAGTAGCACCACCGGAAATACAAACCCACGTGGATTGTGGGATACCTGTTTACATTTAGCAAGATGGCTGCTACATTTGTGGATCTTCGAGAGAAGTTGAAGTCGCCACATCGGAAAAATGTGAATAACAGGCAATCGTATGCGGACGACAACGACAGAGATTTTATGTATAGACACCGCTCATATAAAACCACCCACAGTAAGAAACGAAAACCCCGAAACAATCAAGATGAGCTGAGACTAGTTCATTCGGGAATCAAGCAAAGACGCGACGTGTTCTCGGCAGAAGAGTGTCGTATTATTGAGGAGAAAATTGATAGTGTGGTGGCTGACGCGGACAGAAGTATTTTCAAAAAGCATACAGTGGACAGAGCCCCTTTAAGAAATAAATATTTTTTCGGGGAAGGTTACACATATGGCACGCAACTTGACAAGAAAGGACCAGGGCAAGAAAGACTGTACCCTCGCGGGGAAGTTGACGACATCCCAGGTTGGGTGCAAGAACTTGTTATAAAAAGATTGGTTTCCAGTAAGATGATTCCAGATGGTTTTGTAAATAGTGCCGTGATCAATGATTACAAACCAGGGGGCTGTATTGTGTCGCATGTTGATCCAATCCATATCTTTGAGCGCCCCATTGCATCAGTTAGTTTCATGAGTGATTGTGCGTTATGTTTTGGCTGCAAGTTTTCATTCAAACCCATCCGTACGTCACGACCACTACTAAGTTTGCCGCTCACACGTGGGTGTGTGACATTGCTAAGGTAAGTGTATATAAACAAGGTTGCTCAATTTACAGCACATTTATTTTAATAAAAAGACATTTTATAAATATGTATTGGTTATTTGGACTATGTGACATGTATGAATAATTCAGGACAATATTTTTTTGAATTTTGCTCGCAATACTTCGAAACAAGGGTGAATCCATGATTGTTAAAAATATTAAGTGCAGCAACTGAAATTCAAAACAAATAAAATTGGGAGCCTAAATGATTGCCAACATTCAGATTTGTACACTGTGACTCCTGGTCTTGATGGCCCCAGTGAAATGTTCACTGCAACTCCTGGTCTTGATGATCCCAATGAAATGTTCACCGTGAATCCAGGCCTTGATGGCCCCAATGAAATGTTCACTGTGACCCATGTACTGATGGCCCCCAATGAAATGTTCACTATAACTCCTGGACTTGATGACCCATTGAAATGTTCACTGACTCCTGGTCTTGATGGCCCCAGTGAAATGTTCACTGTGACGGTGACCCATGGACTGATGGCCGCCAATAAAATGTTCACTGTGACCTCTTGTCTTAATAGCCCCAATGAAATGCTCACTGTGACCTCTGGTCTTGATGGCCCCAATGAAATACTCACTGTGACCCATGGACTGATGGTCCCAATGAAATGTTCACTATGACTCCTGGTCTTGATGGCCCCAATGAAATACTCACTGTGACTCCTGGTCTTGATGGCATCAATGAAATGCTCACTGTGACCCATGGACTGATGGTCCCAATGAAATGTTCACTATGACTCCTGGTCTTGATGGCTCCATTGAAATACTCACTGTGACTCCTGGTCTTGATGGCATCAATGAAATGCTCACTGTGACCCATGGACTGATGGTCCCAATGAAATGTTCACTATGACTCCTGGTCTTGATGGCTCCATTGAAATGCTCACTGTGACCCATGGACTGATGGCCCCCAATGAAATGTTCACTGACTCCTGTACTTGATGGCTCCAGTGAAATGTACACTGCTGACAAATGTTATTCGTTCCTCGACTGTCAGAATTCATAAATTTTTCTCTTTCGCTCCCTCAAATGAGTCTTTATTCATTTGTTATTTTTTTTTGTCAACTAGTGTTGGATCAAGGGAATATAGTTTTCTGCTGCTTACAGGAAAAATGTGAATTTAATGGGATTCTGTCAAAAGTTGGCTTGAAAGCCTAAGTCTTGTGACCTAGCCACAAGATAGTTCCTATTGTCTGTTCTGTGCCATCTGTTTTCTAGCCAGATTCAAAGAGCATTTTTAGTGTGGAAAATTACACAGACCTTTTAATATAAAGTACATGTTTTGGGTCGTGAGCATATGATACAATGTATATCACAATTGTGTTGTTAAATGTTGTTTATTAATACTAGTAAATCCATTTTATTCACAGTTCTGTAATCTGTGGGAAATCTGCTGAAAATAATAAATTTATAACGTCACCGTTCATGTAGGAGAAAAATAAGAAGAGAATTGGTCTCTTTTCAGATTAGAACGCAATATGTCAATTAAATGTGTGTAAATTACACACTGATAAATAAAACAATAAAACAAGAACAACATGCACTAATTGTATATCCTGTGAACATTGTCCATGACTCGCTATAAGTTATCTTTGCAAAATCAAAGTGGTTTACATCTTTATATTCGTTAAGCATCTTCATGTATTCATATGTAGGTGAAGGTCAGTAATTTATATTTGAACTATATGAAAAAATGTTATGCAGAGGTGACAGTCAGTTCAAGGCTATAATTGTCTGTTTTCTCTGTCCTGAAATAACACAAATTGCAATATGGTGTGGAGATGAATTTATAAATCCTTGCTGCTTATTTACAGGCTCTTTTGGAGTGATTAACAGGGTTGGTTTGCAAGGCTAATGCTGAAAATAAAGTAAAATAAGTAAACTGTTACACATAAAGAATAATAAAAAAAAAGTAGTTATAATTGAATAAATTCTAATGATAATAAATACTGGAATATTAAAAATAAATTTACATTTTTTACCTTGGTTTCATAATTTTCTAGAATGTTATCTTTGTATCAGTGTTAACTATTCAGTTAAAAGCTAGAAATGATGCTGAAAATTCAAATTCTAAATGTGATTAAGTATATTTTGACACAGATGCTAATACCATTGAAAACTAAAGCGATTTATTTTATTCCTAGTATTTAAAGTTTTTTTATTGATCCATATTTTGGAAAGCAGATGTGTTTCAATCCTTCTGTTTTTAATTATTCTCGGCCAATTTATCAATTTTGATTTGTGTAGAAATGTTTTATATTAAGTTAATATTTGATATAATTCACAGATAATTGATAGATATTACCGATAAGTTAATATTTGATATAATTCACAGATAATTGATAGATATTATTTATCTGATTAAATATAATTATTAGAAATGTAATAAAATACTTGATGTTATAGAATGTTTACTATTTGTATTGTAAATACTTATTTTTCAATTAAATGGCAGCATTTTTGGCATTGCTATATAGCATAGTTTGAATGCAAAATTTGAGACATAATTATTTTATCAGTATAAAAAACGGCAGCATATATCAAACCCCTGTTCCCCCACCTGATTTCTGACAAAGTTGTCATATCAGTAACGAACAGAAATATAATGTACTACCGGTATATAGCCTTTTCAACACCAGAATTTCTCACCAAAATTGTTCTGCACATTTTTCTTATATTCTTTAATATTTCTGGAAATGAACCCTTATTTTGGAGCCAACAGACAAAATTTGAGTAATTTTTTTGTTTTTACTCGAAAACTTTTGGCTATTTTTGTCCCAATCTTCTGAAGAAAAGTGCAGACTAAGAACTATCACTATTTTGTGAACTGGTGGTGAAAAAGTGAAATTTGTTTCACCAAACTCTAAGTCATGAGTATTGAATGGCATTACAGGTTTTGATTCAGACAGGTTGTACTGGTTATTTAGTATTTTCAGTCCCTAGGACTACTGGTATTAATTTATTTCTATCTGCATGGATACAAAGTTATAAACCAATTGTGATGCATCTCCATTCAATTTTCCTCTGTTTGATTACCTACTTACTTCCAAACACAAGACTTTCATCATTTCATGACTTTAAGAACATTGGGAAAAATATGCATATCATGTGTGATCGTATCAATGATATTAATCTCAATATGTTTTTTTGTTTTCACGTTGTTCAGTGGATATGCAGCTAATGATATCACACATTGCATTAGACCCCAGGATGTGAAAGCCAGAAGAGCTGTTATCATTCTGAGAAAGTAAGCAAACTATTCATATTATAGTACAAAATATACAAACAAAAAACTGATCTTGAAATTGAGGGAAAAAAAGATGTGTAATTGTCTGTCAATATTGATAATGATACTGCATTTGCCGCATGCTACTACCAGTATTTCACAAGATACCGACAAGCACACACTGAAGCAAGAATTAGCCAATGTCATTCCATGCTGGTTTCAAGCGTCTGAATTTCTGACCAGAACATGCATAATGTTGTCGACTGGCACTGTTCTATTGTTCATGTATTAAGCCATGCATGTGCAAAATTTGTTTTGAGAAAGATTGATTTTTCCCACAATCTACTTTTCTAATGAAATCACAAGTATGACATTAGCCCTGGGCACCACTTGTACTATTTACTGCCAGCAACTCCTTTGATACCTTCCAATTACCAAAAATACCCAATTAAAACTTCACAGTTTGTACTCGTTGGTCTTTGCAACAGTCAAAGTCGCCATCTTTGTTATATGAGACCCATATCTCGCACATGAGTAGCGTGACAAACACTGCCCTTTAAGAAAGTTGTCTTTACTCAGTTGGTATAAAAAGCATGTTATAATACTAAATACTTTCTTAACATATAGTTCACACAGTCGTTACAACTGATTGGGAACCATGTCATCGACAATGGCTTATTCATCTGAAATCTTTCTTTCAGAATTTAGTTTTTGTATACTGTATAAAACAACATGTATATTATTTATTGAACAACAAAGACTTTTAATTAATAAATAATGTTTTTTAATTCTATAAATCTAGAGTGAGAGATGATGCCCCACGTCTTGGTGATAAAATAAACATGCCGCTGCCTTTGACTGGTGCAGTAGAAAAAGATGGCGATTCATTGAATGAACAAAGAAGACTGAAATCTGCTATTTCTGTTCCAAGTGGCAACGATGATGCATCGAGGAAACGATCACATGACAGTGATGATGATTGTAGCTCTAGTCAGTCTGATGATGACGACCCATGGAGAAATAGTTCAAAAATGTATTCTGATAGGGAGTCTAGTTATTCTCATCAAAAGAGGTCAGTTAGGGAGCCTAAAAAACTGAAGCAAGACTGAGTATCTGCCACGCATCTTTACAGTATGATGGTGTGTTGTATAAAGTGATACATGCCGATACGGTTACATGTGTATATAAAGCATATTAAAGACGTTAATTTCATTGTAAAGATATATACTAAACACGTATTTCTATTTTTTGTTTTTCTCTGTATTTAGAACAAATTTATGTTGACGTCAAAGCAGGGTAACAGTCACATTGGGAGATTAGTGCCATATTCTGTTGATTTTGCATGCATTCAGAGACATTTATGTGTATTATATGATGCATTCACTATCTCAGTACAGACTACTATATCCAAATACTTGATATGTAAAGTACTGTGCATGGAGAGAAGGGTTCAACTAACAAACTTAATAACTACCGTAAAATGACTAATTTTTACTGGGTTTAAATTTTGCTGATTTACCATTTCAGGCATATTCAGTGGGTTTTATCATTTAGATAATGTGTTCTATGCTAAATTTTAAATATTCACTGGGTTTTAATTTAACGCATTTTCCAGTCAGCAAAATAAGCAAAATTAAAACCCAGTGAATAATTAATCCTTTTACAGTATTCTGTGTATGTAAACCACTTCAATTTTACAAGAGAACAAATTTACAAGGATATCACTAGTTGTGGGGTCACAGCAATTTTCGCAAATTTGTCCAAATATGTCCTTGCATAAGTGCACTCAAATTATATAAAAAGGCATTTGCAGCAGCAAAAATGTGATGGTTCACAGTATTTTCGGTAGCACTGCTTTTTACTGCATGCCAATTGTGAATGTAATGCTGGCAACTTACTTACAAATATTACACTGCCAAAATCTCAGTCAGAGAAGCCTGAGTAGTAGCCCCAGATGGCTGCTTTATAACCTATTGTATATATGCTTTTTCATGTAAATGTAACTTCAATCCATGGCAAAAAAATGTCATGTTGTTTTTTTACTACTATTTTGAATAATGGTGCTTAAATTTACTTAGTTTTACTTTATAGCATGGTAAAATATCACCATCAACAGCAATAGTCGCAGCTGACTGTCTGCACATGCACATATTTTGCAGTCTGGCTTGTCTGTACATGCTATGCTCAACTTGGCTAAGTTATGCTGCAGCATGCTCAGCTTAGCTGCACAAGTTATGCTCACATTGGCTACACTTGTCTCAACCTGGCTTGTCTGCTCATGCTATGCTCACCTTCGCTACACATGTCTCAACCTGGTGAGCCTGCACATGGTATGCTCACATCGGCTACACATGTCTCAACCTGGTTAGCCTGCACATGCTATGCTCACCTTGGCTACACATGTCTCAACCTGGTTAGCCTGCACATGCTATGCTCACATCGGCTACACATGTCTCAACCTGGTTAGCCTGCATATGCTATGCTCACATCAGCTACATATGTCTCGACCTGGTTAGCCTGCACATGCTATGCTCACATTGGCTACACATGTCTCAACCTGGTTAGCCTGCACATGCTATGCTCACATCGGCTACACATGTCTCAACCTGGTTAGCCTGCACATGCTATGCTCACCTTGGCTACACATGTCTCAACCTGGTTAGCCTGCACATGCTATGCTCACATCGGCTACACATGTCTCAACCTGGTTAGCCTGCACATGCTATGCTCACCTTGGCTACTTATGCTGTATTTGCTGCTGACTGGTTTGTCTGCACTTGTGGCAGCTTGTCTTCTGCACATGCACATGGGTGTGGTCGATTTAGAAATATTCAGTTAAGATATACTATGATGAAGTCTATAGTATTACTTAAATCTATATTGTAAAGTTAGAGCTTTTTATTAATTTAATCTTTTTACTCTGGAGTATGAAAAGCCAAGTAAAATAGTATTTCTGGTAATATTGAAAAAAAAAGAATAAGGGAGGTACATGTAGGTTTCTTGCATACGGCTGGGCATGTTGGTCAATATAGGAGGATTTTTGTAAATGAATTTTCATAATGACGATGTGCCTGTAGTGAATAATTTACCTAACATGCAGCTAGAAAGAGGAAGTGCATACCCTTCAGTGACCACTTTATAGTTTAGCCATAACAAAAAATTAGGCAAGGTCGGGTTACCAGAAACACTATTTTTTGTTATAACTTGGGTAGTCCTAATATACCAACACCATTGGTTGAGTGTTGTCTTTCTGGCAATGAATTAAAAAGTTGCTTCATTCTTGGGGTGGGGGGGGGGTGTGTGTGAAAAGGGTTAATGAAAAAAGTTGATGTATTGAGAAATTGTTTTTCATCTTGAAATTTGATGCAATTGTTATTTTGTATGGTGCTTTCAATTAAAGCAGTCTATTGATTAGGATCAGCAATTTGTGTAATTGTGTATTCTGTTTAATATGTCTTGCCCAACTTTAATTTTAGGTTCTTGAAAGATGGAATTGCTGTGTGACATATTGCCGTCCACACCCACACAATTCTTATAATACTTTTGCAGTTCTCAGATGGAGTCTGACATTTTGTCACTTATAATACATAAGGGGGATTTTTAGTTCAAATTGATCGTGTATTTTTTAGCTAGTTTGGGGAAATAATGTGAAAAATTTAGAGCATAAACTGAATGTATCATGTGGTATGGTATAGGCAGAAAATGCTTTAAATAGTGGTGGTTGTTGCATCACATCCTGTTTGGGACTCGTAGTGGTGTACTCTGTGTGTGTAAAATACATTGCTCGTTTACATGAAGCATATGATTTTAAATTACCAGTGATGACCAAGATTACAGACAACCATGAAGTTGAGTATGACGTACTATACATGTATCTCCAGAATTACATATAAATTCTGAGACTGGATTTCAAAGATTATTAACGAAGTTCACAGAAATTTCAACTTACCGTACTGTTAAATCTCCTTTACATGAATAACTCTGAAAATGTATATATTGCCACAGTTGCATGTAGTGATGTAGAAATCTTGGTAGCCGATCAATACGACCACCTATCATTGTTCTCCCAAGAAAAATAGCATACAGTATATGCAAATTAACTCAATAGAATATGTTAATTCACTACGTTCAATTACCCACCAAAGACTATGGTCTGTCAAAATGATGATTTTGAACTGTAGGCATTAATCAGCGATTCTGCCGGTGATGAAGAGATAGAATCTAGGTCAGGGGAAACCCCATGACCCCAAGATTCTTTTACCCTTACGTCACGAACCCATGTGACCGAGGCCACATGGCGGCGCCATAGACGGCCGTACAATCACTCTTCTTTCATCTCCGCCTCGTCGGGAATGATTCTGAGCGGCTCTGCCTGGCTCGTTTGCTTTTTCCTGTCCGGGTTTCTAGCGTGGGTCATTGCCGCAGCCGCGGCATCCAACATTCTAGCTGGTAGGACAAGTTTTTCTTTTCTTTTTACCATCGTGTCATTTTCCCCTTTGTGTGTTATGCTTTTCCACAACAAAGAAATTAAAACCCGGCACCACCACGTAACCACTTGTTGGTTTCATGGCGGCACCTTTTAGAACTGTTTTTCGTTTCCCGCATGCATGTCGTCTTTTATTTACAATATATTTAGAAATGGATAGATGCACTGGCAACGCCAGAAGCTCGCCGCCGGTATTATCCCCTGAGTTTTTGAGGCGGGTCTGCAACCATTGTACACAGAACTTGCAGGACTGGAACCCACATGCTAAACGCTACTGTTGTATTGCTTGCGTACAGGGTTCAGGCGTCTGCCCAGAGAACATTTGCAATCACTAGGGTTCTGAAGCCTGGGATTCTTTCCAGCAGTTTGTGAAAATTGCCGAGACTGACCGCATTGCTCGCTCACGAAAAGGTGGAACTTGCTTAGGTATGGGTGAGTTGTGCGTTGGCATGAGTGAGAAGTCCTCAAGCTCGGCTAACCATACTCGTACTGGGATACCAAGCAAAAGGCCCCATGGTGGAGGAACCAACGTATTTCGGTCTTCCCCCGCTGATCAGAGTGCATCTGCACGGTCTGTTTTTTCAGGCAGCGGGTTACCCGACTTCACTGGCAACAGCGAGGCTGTGCCCCTAGAGGTTTTTCCTCCTATGGGGGGGGGGGGGCACCCAGGGTCCCGTAGTGGAACCATCCTCACACGGCGCCGGTTTTGCCGCTGAAATAAAGGCGTCTGTTGGGGCAGATTGTGTCCCTGGCAGGCCAAATGCAGTCGGAGCAAGCTGTCTCCACTGCGGCCTCTCAGCCGGCAAGCAGGAAGAAACATAGAAAGCACTGTTCGCATTCTAGACATGTCTCTTCCCAGCCGTGACCGCTCTGCTAACTTGGGGGAGGCCGAGGCTCAGGCTAGTGACACCAGGTCTCCTCGGTGACCTCGGACACGAAACACCAATGGAGATGCTGGTAGCCAAGACTCCGTTTTCGGGGCAGGGCTGTCGGGGCAGTGCATACATTATACCTGCCCCCCGCATTCAACCAGCCAAGGTTTGCAGTGTAGTACCGGAATTTACCTTCAAGTCCGAGCTCCGCTGTGGGTTTCAACTTCCTTCTTGCCGACCCACTGGCGTTCCCAGAGAAAACCAACCCTGTCATGAGATGCACTCTCGAACACGCTCTCGCCCACATTTTTAAGCTGAGAGGTGGCAGTTCGTTCGCGTCGGATACAGTGAGACCACAATGCGTAATGACTCGGTAAGCCACGCCGTTGGGGTGATGCGGAATATTATCAGTTCAGGTGACACGATGTATATTCCCCCATCCTCGATCCTAAAGCAATCACTCATGGTCGCTTCTACGCTGATGGGATCGCAGACACCGGGATCCAGATCGACCCCACCTGCACGTCTTCCCTGGACCAGTCGAGCACTGAGCATGGCGGACAGCGCGCAGACGATGTTGAGGGGCGGCCGTTGGTCAGCCGCAGAGGAGGTAACTCCAAAAGCCCCAGGCTGGGGTAATCTTTTGCATAACCCCTTTCGCTGGACCAAACGCTACCCTATCGGGGCAATTTCGGATTCGGACCCCAATTCATGGGACGAAACCAGAAGCCCCTGACCGGACCCCAAGGCTCCTTCCCCTGACCCCAGTACCACAAATTTCTGTTTTGCTAACCGGGTAA